GGTGAGGATTTCTTGGGCGATTCTTGGGTCACGGCGGGAGCAGCCACATTAGCTGGCGGAACAGGATGTGCGGGTGATGAGTCCTTGTTTGTGGCCGTGTCCTCCTCTTCATCGCACTCGTGGACACTAACCGCCGGCTTGGCATCGATGTCGCCCTGCTCGACGAGGGCAGGAGATGCAGGTGTATCCGTGGTGGCCTTGTTGTTGATCTCCGGCTTCTGATCCTCCCTTCGATTATCGTTAACCGCATTATTGCTATGGCTGCTGTGCGTGTTGGCGCTGGAGCTGCTCGAGCTACTGCTACTGCTGTTGCTCTGCGGACTGGGTGGCGGCATGGTGGGCGGCGTTGTGTGCTTCTTGGGAGGCTCATCCTCCTGCTGCAGACGGTGCTGTTCGGTAAGGTTTCGCTGCAGCAGGGCCTGCCGCTGTTTCTTGGTCTTGGGGTTGTCGTTGTCGTGGTACAGCGCGGTGGAGCTATTGCTGTTGCTGCTGTTCTCCGCCGGTGCTGGTGATCCTGCCCGGCCGTTCTCTTGCGGCGTCTTCTCCTTCGCCGTTTGCGGCTGGGTTTGCAAACTGAAGGGCTGAAAGTCACCGCCTCCATTCTTGGGCGATCGTTTGGGACTGCAGCTGTTGTTATGGTGCACAGGCTGCTGCTGCTGCTGCAGCAGTTGCTGTTGATGCGGCTGCTTGACGTTGCCTCCCTCTGGTGCATTTTCATTCGGTGTAACCCTCATCACCATACTGGCTTTTCGTTTGCGGCGCTTGCGACTATTGCTGCTGTTGCTGTTCGACTCCAGTGACTCCTCATTGGAGGTGGTCAGGTAGGGAGACTCAGGGGCATCTACTGCGGGTTTGTCCACTTCCGAGTTGCGGTACGATAGATCAGTTATAACAGGCTGCTCCTCCGACGACTCTGGTTTGTGCTTGACCGCCAGGACATCGAGATTCGTCAGTTGAGCGTTGCGGGAATGATGCGTCTGTTGTTGACTCGAGGATGATGCCACCTGCTGCTGCTGGGCCGCATCCTGTGGTTGCCCATGAAACTGACCACTGGTCAAGTGAGGTGGCAGGAGCGGCGGCGGAGCTGTTTGGCTGTTGGCCGCATGCTGATTGTGGTAGTGCAAGTGCTGGGGGTGCTGCGATTGTGATTGCGATTGTGTCTGGTCCTGCTGCATGTGGTGGTAGCTACCAGCTCCGCTCGAGTTATTGAGCTGATGGTGCAGGTGCAGCTGATTGTAGTCCATGGTGGGTGATTGCATCTGATGAGGCGGCGCAGCCAGCGGAGATTGAGGCGTTGGCGGCGTCTGTGGTCCATTGTATTTGGGCGTTAAGTTGTAAGGCGGCTGCTGCTGTTGTTGGTGATAGTTTCGCAGAGGTGAGGCTAAAGGATATACGATTAAAAGTTAATCATCTTTGATTTAACCCAATACAACTTACGTTTCTTGTTGACATGTTGCTGCTGTACATTGTGCGTGGGCAGTTTGCTAGCTGATCCCGCTGGCGGGTAGCCAAAGTCCTTGTCCTTCGGCAAACTCTTTCCCGAGAGCAGCTCATGGTCAAAGCTGCGCTTCAATTGCGCCAGCTTGAAGTTCTCATCGCGCGATTGCGTGTAGTGCGGGCTGGTTACGTGATTGTTACTGCCACTGTTGCTGCTGCTGTTGCTCCCCGCATGATTGCTGTTCCCAGAGGCAGTTGTGGGAGGCGGTGGCGGCAGCAAGGACTCGCAGTCGCCCCCATTGCTGAGGTTTCCCGAGGAGCTGCCCAGGCTGGACTGCAGCAAACTGGCATGAGCGGCTGCCATGGCGGCCAAATGTCCTTGCTGCTGCTGTTGTTGCGTGGCATTGGTCGTGAGATTTTGACTGTGGCGTAAACAGATGTTTAATAATGTCCAAACTAACTGGATGCAGGGCAGTCTACTCACATTGAAGGATAATTAGGTGCGTGCATTAGAGATTGCTGCTGCTGCTGCTGGGACTGCTGTGCCTGCTGGTTGGGCGACTGCTTGGCCAGCGGCTGGGCCGCACTGCGGGCGGACTGCAGGGACAGGTCCATGGAGTTGAATGGCAAAGTTCCAGAGTAGGGCGGAGCCAGCAGAGGATTCATCTGATGGTGGTGGTCCAGCTAGGAGAACAAAGCAGGCTAGGAATTAATGAGCACAGGACTTTAAGAGCTAGAAGAAAACAAAGCAAACTAGGAAACAACTCAACTAAACGACGCTAAAGGAGGCTTTCTACTTGGCTAAAAGGCGAGGATCGAGCATGCTTTTGGGTTAACTAAGATTTCTGGCTGCTTTTGGCCTACGTTTTTGTGGTTGGCCGACATGAAATTGTAAATGGCATCGGGCGGCGGCGGTGGCTGGGCGGAAACGGAACCGGAAACGTGCCAGGCCAGCGGGGATCGCACCATTCCGGGCCGCTCGTTAGACATATGCGCCAACTGCGGCTGCCGGGGTATGTACGAGGGAATCTGCGGATTGATGGAGGTCAGCGTTTCCATAGCGTTTTCATCCACATCGATGCTCCACTACTTACTTGCAGGGGATTCCAGGAGGCGTTCTGGGCCGCCTGGCTGAGATGCCCAGGATGCGGATGATTGTTGTTGGCCATCTCGGTGGCTAACTCGTGGCGCTTCTTGTATATCTCACCCAGCTCATGGGTATCCTTTCGGCCCAATGTGTGTGGAATGTGATTAAAACAAAAAAACCGACAGCTGGAGTTTTGGGGAGCGGAGCAGCCGAAGGACGAAAAGGCGACCTAATCTCGATGGGAAGGATCCTGCTGCTGCACAGGACTTGCTAACTCCGGCCGGACAGCCGCTGCTCTTTTTCGCCCATAAACAAGACCGCACGCACTTTTTTCACACCACCCACAAACACCAACCCACTCGGAAAAGGCAAAAGGTTTTTCGCCGCTCTCGTGGTCCTTGCGCGATAACTCGATAACAGGGCATAAGCAGCCGATAACACCACACATCCAACCTATCGGCCAGATGACAGCGCGTTGTTTTGCACGCTACGCCAAAAGCACGAGGTATTTGCGAATGCCGAACGTCCTGCACACTTCGTTTTTTTCCCCCGTCTCCATGGCCAGTTGTTTGTGGCTTTTGTTTCAAGCAATTTTGTAATTTGGCAATGCAACGGCACAGTGGGTTACTTATCGCGGGTGAGGGTAATTTGTTTTATACCTTTAAATTTTCAGCGGCAGCGCATTGCAAATTCGTTGCAACGGCGTGCGAACTTTTCTTGTTTTGGGTCGCGCAGCACAGGAGAATCTGAAAATGGGCTCTCAAACGCGTAAACGGGTCCCGTTTCTGCAGCTAATACATGGCGGCCAACGGCAAGGACTAAATATATATTAATTCGCAAATGCCGCAACGTTGTTTTTGTGTTTTTACGTGTGTTTTCAATTGTTTAAAACAAAATGTAATTTGTGTTAGAGATGGGAGAACCACTCAGTATAATATTGATACATCGATAGGGTGGAGAAGGGTGACAAAGATAGATATCGATAACAAAGACGAAAATACTGCTCAGAAAAATACTTATGTGGGAAAAGAGAAAACTACCATTTAAATAATTATTGCAAAATTTGCGAGACATTTAGTAAATAGCCAATTTTAGAAGTAATTGCTTGGCCATCTTATTTTCGAGTGCTTGACAATAAAGTTTTAAATAAATTTACTTTGGTATTTTCCATTTTGGCGCCAAAATACGTTAACTCTACTCTGCATCCCTGGTCAAAGTGCATCTGAAAATGGCAAACACAAATCAAAAACCAGCACTTTTAGTACAAAATGAGTGCAGGAAAACGTGGAGCCTTGATTATATTCGAAGGATGCGATCGCAGTGGCAAGACCACACAAAGCAGGCTATTGGGTAAGTTAAAACACCAAAAACCCGATTAATCCATCACTTAACCACCAATCTCCTCCAGTTGAGCACCTGAAATCAAAGGGTCTTTCCGTTATGGCCATGAATTTTCCGGAGCGCAGTTCCAGCATTGGCCAGGTGATAAACTCCTATCTGACCAACAGCAAGGATCTGCAGGACGAGGTCATCCACTTGATGTTCTCCGCCAATCGTTGGGAGCACATGAACCAGGTGAAGCAGCAGCTCCTGGAGGGCACCACCCTGGTGGTGGATCGATATTCCTACTCTGGCGTGGCTTATAGTGCGGCTAAGGGACTGGATTTCGATTGGTGTTATGCCCCGGAACGGGGACTCTTGAAACCAGATGCAGTTTTCTACCTAAGAGCACCCGCAGCAGATGACCTCGCAAATCGCGGTCAATACGGCGAGGAGCGGTCAGTATTAGTTGCATTTTATAGCTGAGAACCCCATATCTTATCTTATCCCCTTGCAGTTACGAGAAAGTGGAATTCCAGGGGCGTGTGGCCAAGGTTTTTGATAAGATTTGCTCCAAGGAGGCCAGCTATTGGCACCAGCTCGATGCCAGCCAATCCGTGAAGGATTTGCATGCCCAGGTAGCTGGCATTGCCGATGAACTACTGCCCAAAGTGGCCAACCAACCCATCGAAAAGTTATCATAGGATAGGGCCATTGTATTGCCATGCATTGGCCATTATTGCCATTCATTAGAGGGGATTTACCTTGATTAATGCAACACACGAGTGTTTGTTATAAATGTTTTTAAATGGCGCTTAACTTTTAATTTACGATAAGGCCGCCGCAGCCAATAAATCCAAGCGTCGAAGGGCATTCTCGTTAAGTGTTGAGCGAAATGCATTTACAGAATTGCACATCAAGTGGATTAATATGTAAGCCCGCAGGCAAATGCAATTAAATTGCCGTAATCCCGCCTCCTTAATCATAGAATGCCACATTTTGTTGCTCCATTGTAGTTCGTTTATTTTAATACACCGTGACTAAAGGGCTGCTCTCTATGTACTAACTGCTAAAGCTAAAGCGAAAAATAATTTATGCGGATCAAACTTAGTTTCTAAGCCACAAAATGTTGGGCGAACTGCTTCTCCTCCTTCTCGATACTAGTTGAGCTCGTAGCTCTCGTAGCCCAAATCCTCGCGTCGACTGCGCGGAGCTGGCTTGGGAGTCCGCGTCCTCAGGGTCAGTTGGCGATAGCCCACTCCGGGCTTGTAATCCACATTGATGGGGCCATGGGGTCGCAGCCCGGTCACGCCTCCTCCTCCGCCCCGCCTCTTCTGCGCCTGGTGGTAGAAGGCTATGTCGCCGTAGCTGTGCTTTGGCCACATGCACTCACAACCGGAGGGCACGGTTCGCGTCTCCGATTCCCAGCAGCCGGAGGCGTCGTTCAGCCGGATCAGGTGGATGGTGCGGTTGAGCTGGATGCACGAGAAGCCCGTCGCCGAGCAGATCTGGAATGGGAACACAGTTACTTAAGCTTCTGTACTTAATTTTTTGTATACACTTGCAAAGAGTATTTTTAATTATCTGTTTTTATTTTATCTTAGTAAAAATTTACCATTTTAGTCAAAACTTTTTATTCACAACCTTATGAAGTATCGATTTAGCCATAGCCCTCTTTCCGTTTCTTCTTATTTCTATATTATTATTATTATTTATATTGGAATAATTAGAAAAGAAAATGAAATGAAAAAAACTTTCTTGATTTTTCATTTTAACCAATATACTCCGCTTTTAGTTTATTTAAAAATCTGGCAGCAATGTTATACAGAGATGTATAAATGTTTACGAACATAATAATGGACTACTATTTCAGAACTACGCTATTAATTTAATAAAAACCGGACCGTGATATCATACAGCTGCCATATAAGATTAAAAATTCAAAATATTCATATTAAAATATAGTCGTTTTATAAAATACATATTTTTTGTAGTAGCTTCATGGGTATATAAGCATTGCTTAAGTTATTTAACCCACCTCTCGCTTTTCACCGCGCTCGGAGAGCAGAGCTCGGAGCAGTTCATTGCCCCTGTATCCGTACTCGTAGTTGTGGGTCCTCGATGGCTGGGGCGAGTAGCTGTGGGCACAGGTCACCTCCACGTAGTGATTGGGTCGGTAGTCGCCGCTCTCCAACTTCACGGTCACACGATTCGTGGGGCACAGCGATTGATAGGTTACCACCTGTGAATGAGTTAGAGAACTTTCAATTAAAAAAGATATTTTAGACTAAGACAATAATTATTTTATTTACACCATTTACAATATATCCCTGAAATTTATAAAAATATTGCCATTTGATATTTATTTTAATAAAAAGAGTACCATGAAATGATTATTTATTGTAAATTATAAATTTAAAAAAAGTCAATTTAAATATTTTTTAATATCAATAGATTTAGAATCTTAAAAGAAATATATTTTTAAATTTTATCTGAGGTTAAACCTTTTTAAGTGCACACAAATTGTTAAATTTTAATATTTAAATATAACTGAACTGTTATTAAAAGCAGTACATTATAACATCTTAAAAAATCACAGTGTACTTTTAGTCTTGTTTGGTTTTTTTAAGGTCAAAACATTAATAACTTTGTCCGAAAATCAGGATTTACTGTCGTTAAATTTACATTTTTAATTACTATCACGACTTATTTATTTAAGTACTTACGCCATCTGAGCTGGGATTGGGACCCAGAAAAGGAACCGGTGGCATAACACTGCGCACACGACGCTTGCGCACATTCTGGATTCCGTAGGGCAGGTTGGAACTCAGCTCATCCGCCTCCTCATCCTGACCCGCATAATCCTCCTCGCCCTCAATGTCCACGATTTCGGGGACGTCAGCTGCTGGGAACTCGTTGTAAGTGTACTCCCGCTGACCTGGTTCTCCAGCTTCGGCTTCGTCTTCATCCATGGCTGCCCTGAAATTGCATATGCATGGAAATTTGTTAGTTTTGGCCATGAATTAGCGCCCCTCACAGCTCGCGGCCCACTGGAGCTACTTTTTGCCTCCACTGCTGTCTGATGTCTCCGCAGGCAAGCGGAAATGACTGCAAAAGCGGTTTTACACAGCTAAAATTACTACAAAACCATATATATAAAAAATAAAATTGTGTAGAAAAAAAGGTAAATTATAAAATAATATTTTTTTTAAATAAATGTCGATCTTAATTATCCCATACTTGAAAATGCAGACCCTTTCAATTTGCATTTCGCTTAAAAACATATTTGTAGCTAGTCAAAAACAAATATCAAAAAAGTTGCGAAAAATAACATTTTTTGTTAGCAATCAAAAGTCGAATTAAAAAAATATGATATGTAATGATTTAATAAATAGAAAAAGTACATATCAAAAGCATTTTTTAGCTTACCACAAAACTTTTTCAAAACATTTTTTCTATGTTATAATGCCGGCGGTGGTATGGCTTAAAAAAATAAATTTCTTTTTGACGTTTGTTATTTGCATGGTCGCCGCTTCTTTCTGCAATTTTTCCAGCTGGCCAACAAAAGCGCATCATTCTGCATTCAACTGCAGCAAATGCCAATGAATTTTTCAGCTTTCGCTATGGCGCGCGGCTTTGTCTGAGGATTGTTGCATGGGATTGGGACTGGGAATGAGATTGGGGGGCAGGAGGTGCTCGGTAGTGACGGCGTTGTTCTGAGCCTGTGGCGCGCACAAAGCTCTCCACTTCGCGGACGTCGTTGGCTGCCAGCGGATTTCCCTTTTTCGTTGTCGATGCTATAGTGCAGCTCCCATACCCGTACCCTTACCCTTATTTTCTTCATCATCCAAAACCCTATACCCATCCGCTTTCCCTATTCTTCCTGCCCCGAAGCTTTAGCTTTCAGATCCAGCGGCGTTGGCATTTTTGAAACGCGCTTTCAGGGCAACAACGGCTTTGATAGTTTTGTCGCAAAGTTTGCGAAAATGTTTTGAGATGAATGCAGCTGGAATAGTTGAGGTGAGGTGAGCGCTGCTTTAAATTAGCACAAAAAAAGAAGGGGGTATAATACTGTTTTGTGGTCCTGTGACAGATACAAGTGAATAATTGAGGGGCTTATCTTGTTGCTTTGTGAGGATTTAATCTAAATCGATTCGGTCTGACAGTAAGCTTATGTTTACAAAGTCTGGAATGAGCTTTAGAGTACATTTTTAAACTATTTCTATAAAGAATTTAAATAAAAAGGTTTAAGATATTGTTTATTAAAAAGGTTACCCAACTTAACTTTTCCTTGCAAACATTTTTGTATTAGCTATCTGTTATTACCATTCATTAAACACAAAGCTGTAAGTATTGTTAAATTGCTTTAAGGGTACATGACGATATAATTTAAGCTTTAGCTACTGATTTAATATGCCTTATTTAAAGATATAGGAAACCCCAATTAGACTTTCATCTTAAATGTTTAGGTATTTATAAATATTTATTTATTTCTTATTTTTAAATTCGAACCAACTAAATCATGAAAAGACCTTTATATTGCAGGGTATACTTATTTAAATAATTTATTTCAGTCATATTTCTCTATTAATTTATTATTATTTTTCAGAGCCAACAAACTAAACCATGGATACCCGTTTTTATTTCAGGGTATACTCCTTTTGAAATTTTTCCTCAGTCATATTTCTGGTTGAATTTCTTTGTGTCGCTTCAGCTATCGTTTGGCATCCATTTTTGGTGAATGCAAGACGCCGATTAGGTAATCCCGGGCTCAGAATGCACATGATCCTTGCAGCTCCTGATCTCGTTCAGTCCGACAAAGGGGATAGGGATAAAGCCCAGTCGACTGGAGGAATCAGCTTAAGCGCTTACGTTTGTGCTCACGCTTACGTCATGGGATGTCAGCATTGACATTTACTTGGTATGCAACCAGCAAGCCAGAGCCACGACTAGGATTAGATGGAGCAGCAGGAGGAACAGGAACAGGAACCAGAATAGGAACAGGCACATGACCAAGTGCTACGACTTCATACCTTTTCGTCGTCTCCAATCATGTGCGGCCACATTTGCCGGATTGTGAACCCATTTGCATGCAGTCGAAAAGTGAAACAAACCCATTTACCCACTACCAACTATTGCAAATTTTGACCATTTTCGTTTGAGCTTTCGGTTCTGGCTTCAAAGGGGCTCTTATTCAGTGGTGTCTGTTTTCTAGCTTGTTGTACTCTTGGATACTTTAAATCAAAATAACAATAAAATCATAACATATATCATAAAACAATATTTTACAGAAATTCTCTACTCCTCAAAGTAAAAGAAGAAACTTTTGAGACGTGCAATTAAATAAATACAGTTTTGTATAACCTTATTTAAAGAATTTATATTGTTATCAAACAAATTTAAAATAAATTAAGCAATATTTTAACAAAAATAATATAGGAAACTTCTAATAGAAAATTTAACCAATTTTATATTGCCTTATTTAAATAATTTATATTGATTTTATTTTTTGATACCTATTTTTTTATTTACTTCTATTTAACGGATAATAACATTTAAGAAAAAACTTCTAAAAGAAAGTAAGCAATTATACCAAAAAAACGTACCATTAAAATTTTTTTTTTAAACATTTAGCATGTTTGGCAGCAACTTAAAAATAGTTTCTTTATCTCTTTAAATATATTTTTTTCAAATATATAAGATTAAATAAAATGTTACCTTTCTCATCTCTATCTTACCTTTGGTTTATGTTGCTGCTGCGACTGCGACGTGCCAGCAACAATTGCTCCTGCTCCGGTGGCTGCAGCCGTTTAAAGTTGCTGTTGTCGTTGATGTTGCTGTTGCTATTGGTGTTGCTGTTGCCGTTGCTTTGGCTGTTGCTGCTGTCCTGGGCAACAACAAACCTGCCCACACCTTGAACGGCCGCATTTAAGTCGGACAATTGCAGACGGAAGTCATTGCGAGCATTCTCTGGATCATCATCAAACTGTCCCTGTTGCTGTTGTTCAAGTTGCTGTTGCTGCTGCTGCTGCTGCTGCTGCTCATGTTGCTGCTGCTGCCGTTGTAGATGTTGCTGCTTGTCGTATATGCTGTGGATGGGATTTCCGTAGAGTTTTTGCTGCTGCTGCTGCCATTTGGACGGTGCTTTGTTGTAGTTATAGTTGTCATTGTTGTCGTCCTCGTAGCTATCTGCAATGCCATCAGCATCCACATCCCACTTGTAGTTGTAATCGTTGTAGTTGTTGTAGTTGTTGTACCTATTGTTTCTGAGCCCCTGCCCTGTCGATTCCATTTCCATGGCCTCCTCGCAAGTAGAGCCACTGCCAAAACAGCGAGCAGCTAGAATGGCGGCCAGGAGCAGCTGCAAATGTGGACGAAAAACAAAAAGATTGGCGGCGATAAGAAGGGTGCGGCACAAACGGAAACGTTAAACAATTGTTGTGTTATGTTGTGTTGTTGTGTGTGGCTAATAAACTGCAAAGTGTCAACAGTTGTTCAGGGGGGTTTTTGTCATGCAAATATGTACCCTTCTTTCAAAGGGCAAACAATGCATGGGCATTAATATTTATCACATGAGATTAGATATTCGCTAAATAGGTTTATAAAAACAGTATTTGCGCATCGGAAGCTTATGGAAAATCCTATTTACAGGCCACTAGATTGGTAAATAAGGAATTGCGTATTATTATATTATTAGGTTATGCACTAAAATCTTAAAACCCTATGCATAAGTACCCTTAAAACCCTTAAAAAGATATGGAATGCTTACTTCTACAAATTGCTCGTCCACAATATCTTTGTTTTCTTGTTGTGTTTTTTTTTTTAATTTGCTTTACTAATGCAAGATACTATTTTTACAAGCAGTTTATTAAATTTTTTATGAAATTACAAATTCTCTTAATAGGTTTAGAAAATATTTGCGCATCGGAAGCTCATGTAAAACCTAATTTACGGGTCACTAATATAAATCAAGTTTTGCCCTAAATAGATAGCCTTATGAAAAAATTAAAGTATATTGCTCAACCGAAATATTTTGTGCTTTTGTTTTGCTTTATTTGAATTCCTTATCAAGTAATGATAATTATTTAATCGAACCATATATTTTTATAGAGCTCTAAATTAATTAATTTGATAATAGGCTTTTGGTTCCTGGAAATTTTCCAAGTACGTATTTATTTATTGTTATTCCCCGATTTCGAGTTCTATGGCTATTTAGGTGACGTATTTGTTTTGCTCTTATCAAGTTTGAGATACTTAGGGGAAAGCCTTGCGATTATAATCAATGTCCAATCAATACAGTTATCAAATTCCTCTTAAGAAATATTGCTAAATATTTCTAGAAATATATCAATAGTTGCACCATACTTTTATGAGTATTAGAGGTACTAGTTTATTAACTGCTTGTATGAAAACTTTGATTTTTTTTTAAACTTCAACCTTGTAGCTGAGTGCTGCTATCCGAAAATCGACCACTAATTCAACTAAGAACTCAACAAAATTCCGATTGACGAAACCAAAAACTTAAACAGCCTCCAAGCTCCCACAGCGTCGGCTAAAGCGAAAGTTCGATTCCCTGCTGGATGTTGACAATCAATGTGCGATGAGAATGGTTGAGAATAACGTCAGGAGCAAAACCGAACCCAAACAAGATGAAAAGTTTTTGGGTGGCTTCGCCCCTCGTTTCCACTCTGAGGTTTTCCCATGCCACCCATTCCCATTCCTCGCGGATCCGAAAGTTTTGGGCAAGATTTTCAGACATGTCTGTATTTGTGTCTGCTGTGGATGTGCGATGCTATGCGATGCGATGGGATGCGATGCGATGGCTCTGATTATGTGGTCGAGTCCAAAAAAAAGTGCCCCAAGTGAAAATAGTTGGGCGACCTTTAGCGATAATATGCTGCACGCGCATCCTATCCCATATATCCCATATAGCCATCCAGATATACAGAGCCGTACAGCGACCAGCTACATTCATTAGAGCACACACTACGTGACCGAATAGTTGGCGCCGGAAATGCTCAAAACTAAGATATGAAGCACTGTGCTTCAGCTTCAGCTCCACTTCCTGTTTCCACTTTTCCCTGCCGCTCTACAAGTTCTTTTGTCTCAATCTAGTTTTTACATGCACGGCAAAATAATTTATAAATTCAAATTGAGTCACTGAAATCTCTTAAAGTTCAAGTCAATAATTTTTTGATTTTAAAGTGAGCAACCTAATTTTATTTACAAAAAAATACATTTAAAATTGTATAAATTTATTAAACACTACCATTCAATAAACTTGCTTTATTTTACTGCTAATTCACTTAATCTTTTTGAAGTCTTCGCATTTCGTTAAATAATGTTGGCTTTTTTAAATAGTTTAAATAAAGACTTTGAGGTTGGTTATCTTTAATTTATTTAATATTTTTGAGAGTACAACAAAAGTCATTCTAAAACTATCAGTTAATTATCTCATTGTTAACCATTTATAATTATAAATATTTTTGTCCGTGTACTATATGGACTTGTATAGGGACTATAGCTATATGTGCAAGTATCTCGGATATATGCAAGTGTTGTTGTCGCTCTGGATTTATAAGATTTCTTTTATGCTCTTGCCGGGCCTACCACAAAACTTCTTTCATTTATCTGGGCCCCTCCTTCTTCCGTAGTCCTTCGTCCTGTGAGTCTGTGGAAATCCAAGTTTGGGGGCCGGCCGGCAAGTTTGTCAAACTATTTGTATGGAATTCACAATTTGTGTTGATGAAGTTTCGCCCAAGTCGCTCCAAGTCGCAGATTACGAAGGCGACCGCGTGATCTGCGTGAACTGTGTGAACAAGTGTTTATGGAATTGAATTATTTTCCTTCTTCCTTCGTTTTTTTTTTGTTCCTGGCCTGTATTTCCCCTAGTTTTGTTATCCGAAAAACACCAGGTGGTGATGGTGTTGGAGGCGGACTTTTTGTGTTATCTGTTTGTTGGGGCTTACAGGTGGCTTTGTCTTAGACGTGGGCACTCTCTTTGTGATTTAAAGTGGGCCCAATAAGCCGATTTCTTAGGACAAGCTGGCTAAGAGCAAAGTATATTTGGCTTGTGTGTTTTTTATAACGCGATTAAATATTTAGTTTCAATGAAATTAAAAAAAGGCCTTGTGTTTAGCAAATATAAGCAATATGTTTCTTAAACAATGTTTTATTTACTCTTTCTTTATGAAATTCCTTGAAGAAATTTTAATCAACCAGCAACATTTTTTTAAATTTATTTGATGACAATAAATCTTCAAGATAATCTCTTTTTATTAACACAATCTTGTGTGGATTTCTGTTTACAATAACCTTTCCTAACATATATGATTTACGAGCTCGAAAACGTGAGTGAAAATGTGATATTGTTATCAGATCTTTATCAGTTAAGATATCATTTAAGCTACACTATCTTTTGAAACTCCTAATCTTGTTTGGTTTTTGACTTATAGATAACGTGAGTTACAATGTGATATTGTTTCAGACCATAATCAATTAAGATATATGTAATGTGACAGGTACAGGTCTTATTTTGTCTGGTTTTCTCTTGACAATGACTTTATCTTAAAGGTGCACTTTCATTAAAATACAATAAAGAGCTTTATCACTTGTTCTAATCCCGATTTTAATATGGCTATGAAATATGGTTTACTTTTTGTGCCGCATGTTTTTGTTGCAAAAACGAACGTAGAAACAAAAACACAAACAAATGCTAGGGCATTGAAAATATAATTTCATAATTTATGGTGTTAGTTTTCGCATAGTTGGCACCCATGCTCCCGAGCCTTATGCAAATGATTGTTTTTTCGTTTATTATTTAATATTTTTCTGGCTCGACTCCTGGCTGTTGCCATTCAATTACATTTTTGCAATCAAACTGCAATGGGGCCAGACAATGTTCAGCTGCTCACCTGGCCAGAACAGACAGACAAATATGCATATATCTATATAGTCGGCCGATGTACCTTTACCATATGTGGGTAACGTTCGGTGGTGCTGATATATATTGCATAAATTTGTGACCTTTCAGTTTTCAATTGAATTTCCCAGCACGGCGGCAATTGTTCGAGGAAAACTTGGTCCTTGCATTGGTAGCAGCAGCAGCAGCAGCAGCAGCAGCAGCCGGAAAAACAACAAAACTAAGCGGGTAGAGTACCAATTTGCATCCTTGTAGTGGTGTGTTTTTGGAAAAGGAGGTGTGGGCTGGTGGTTTTTATATCTGCAAAAACAAGAGCCCCTGCAATTCTCCCCTCGATTTGTTTTAATTGTTGCGCTCTCGCTCCTTGTTTTCGTTGCTGTGTCTCTTGTTATTGTTATTTTTTCGGCTCTGTCTGGTGCGCTTATTGGCAATTGTCAAATATTGGTTTTTTCCTATTATTGTTTCATCAATGGCATGAAGCGATTTTAATTAATCGCCCCAAAGTTTGCCAATTTCAAAGTTTTTCGGATTAATTTGTTGTTCATGTCAATGCTCTCTGGCATTTTCGATGTCGCAAATTTAAGTTGGGGCCGGTATTTCAATTAAAAGCCACCGCAAGGGGCAGCCCTTAGATTTGATGTTACGCATACGCCATGTGTGCCATCTACTATCAACGGTTGCCATGTTAACACACACACACGCACACACACTCGCAGGCAGAAGGGACTTGTACATGTAGCAGATTGGTTGCCTTGCTGCCTGCAAATCCTGTTAATCACCTCTATCACAGGTGAGGCATCTGCACGTAGCTCACTTTTTGCCGCTTTAAGTCGCCGCAGTGTTGTAACAGCAGAACGAAAGAGAGGGAACGAGAGGGATAGAAAGAAAGGGAGGGCGGTGAAACTAGTTAGCATTGCTGGTAAAATGTCTGTTTTCCAGCCGAATTTGGATAATACCAAAAGTTTGAAACCGCAACTATTTAAGTGATTAGGGGGCTTTAAATTCATAAAAGTATTTAACAGAACTTTTTGTTAGTTTGCTACTGTAATAATATCAAGTATATTTATCAGCTATCTTTAAACAGATGACTTCTGATCTTAAAAGTGAGAAGAAATTCTTTATAATTTATTGGGAAAAAAACGAAAATACCATTGAGAACACAAAGGAATATTTAATTTAATAAAAAAACGATTTCTGATCATGACAATTTAAAAAAACTAAAGAATATAAAAAGGAATTCTTCATTTACCATTTTTAAAAATGTTTAGAAAGCATGTAAATACAATATGGAATATAGTTTTAAAACACCAGTTAATTATTTGTTTTAATATTCATTGCCTAATTATCAAAAATGTTTATGTTACACAATGAGCACTACACATATCTACTTCTGGATATCTATTCTATTTGTTTTTAACGACTTGACTTGGCTACTTTTG